TTTAATAATTGTTTTCACTTAAGATAATATATAATAAAATAAAAGTAAAAATGCAAACATAACGATATTTAAACCACTTTTAATTTGTTATAAAAAACTATTTAATACATTCATGCTGACAATAAAACATGTGTTATTTTTAAAGAGTATTGAATTGTTATTGTAGAAAAATAAAAAAACGATAATAAAATAAACTGCAAAGCTGTTTTGATAATATAAAGAATTTATTTTTATGTGACGCTGTTTTATGCAGTTTTATAACATTAATAACATAAAACGCATTTGTTATAAAACAAAGTAAATAAACTGAACTGATCTAAATTAAAATAAATATAACTTTAAAATATTACTGGCTTCAACACTGATGTTTAAAGTAGTTTAAATTCAAAAACGCTTTATAATGAATAGAAATTTCTGCTCAACAGAGCAAATGATCATACTTCTATTCAAAAAATAAAAGAAATAGGTGACCTCTAATAAAAAAAAACTTTGACAAAAACATTACTTTTAAGTAAGGCCAAAAATAATGCTAAGTTAGTAAAACAAAAAAGATAACAAAAAAACAAAAGAAAAAATATATATTAAAAAATAATAATGATAATAGCGAATGTGTTAAAAGCAATTGCGATTCGTGATCGTGGTACGCTTATTTTGAGTCCTGCAAATAATTTCTCAAATTAAAAATGGTACATTTTCTTTTTCTATTGGAGATACCTAATAAAAAATGTATTTTTCCAAAATCCATATGAGAATTATTTACTACTTTTTGTTTTATTAATAGTTTTATAGATTATGATTAGACTTTGTCTAAATTTTATTAGACTTAATCCAAGGAATCCATTTATTTGTAGAAAGTAAGAATCCATTTAATTGTAGAAAGTTAATTTACAAACACAACATGATTGGTTTTATATTAAATATAAAGTCTTATACTTATATGTTGCTGCTAAGGCACACAAGGAGGCTATGTAAGCATCATCAATTATTTTTGTTTAGCCTTGTTTTTATACTAAAGCAAAGCCTTGGTATAAAAGTAGTATTGTTTTATAGTATTTTAGTAGTATTTAGTAGTATTGTTTTATTTATGTTCATAGTATATTTTAATTATGAAAGTAGAAAATTTGCTATTTAGGTTATCTATAAGGAAAAATTTCCCAAAAATATAAATACAATTTTTGACTTAATTATGTTTCTAAATATTCTTTACCTCAGCAACTACAGGCTTTCCATTAGTTTCAACTTAGCAACTACAGGCTTTCCATTAGTTGCAACTTAGCAGCTATAGGCTTTCCCTTAGTTACAACTTATCAGCTACAGGCTTTCCCTTAGTCACAACGTATCAACTACAGGCTTTCCTTTAGTTGCAACTTAGCAACTACAGGCTTTCTTTTAGTTTAAATATTAGTCTTGTTAAAATGTTGTATTATAATTGCCACTGGCTATTGTTTGTTTACTTTTAACAATCTTATAAAATACCTAATGTATTATCATAAAATATAATTACTGTAAAATCGCCTAAGTTCGGTCACCACTACAATCGCGTAACTTCGGTCATTTAAGAAACAATATAAAAAAAGCATGCGAAACTCAATTTTTACACACTTTTTTTTCTCAAATAATATTTGTTATTACTTTGTAAATATGAATCTATACAAAAATAATGTTTATTTACAACCTGCTGATATAATTCTTTAGCAAAACAACAATTCAAAAAATGGCTTAATGTGTAATAAGCAAAATAAATGATCAAGTTTAATCTTAGTGTTATCAAGAATCATTAAATTAATTATATTTACAAAAAAAGTATATTCATTTTTTAATGTTAACTACTTTTTTTTTGAAAGTTAGTGAAATTTTGAAATACTCTAACTTCAGTCATTCATGGATACACAACAAAGACAATTAGCAGGAACATTGTGAAATGTTGATATGTAAAAAATGTCATTTTTTGAATATGAGCTTGTGTTGCTGTTAGGTAAATTTACAGGTAACTTTACCTGTAAAAAGATACTCACCATGGTATTTTATTTGAAAAAAGAATTTGTTTAATAATTTTAAAATTAACCTGTTTTAAAATAGAATTTACCGGTCAATTTGCAGATAAATTTTAATTTCAAAATTTACTGGTAAATTTATATCACTGAATATGAACTAATTACAAAACAATAATATATTTTGCAACAAACTGAAATAATTCTTTTCAAGTTAATATATCTATGTCATCTATGTATTTACGTGAGAAAACACGGATCGCTTGTGGTTTGAAGACTGTGGATAAAGGTACGATTAAAAGGAAAACAGCTATAACATTTGCCTTCAAAAGATCAACTATCGTCAACAGAAGTAACGGCAAGCATACTAAAAAAAAAAAAACCAAGTTGAGTGACAACATCAAGGCCATTTTAGTAAAAATTTTAATATTTATGAGTAATATTGGTTTTAGTTTGAATAGGCTTGTAATATTGTGTGTTGTTAATTGGTTTGATTGTGAAATGACCTACTTGGTTAATTCAAATTAAATGTGTTTTGATGGTGGCAAAGTTACAACTACCTGATATTATTCATTTGTTAGACGTCATTGTAATAATCTGTTGCTAAGAATATCAAATAATAGCCATCAAACTGTGCAATGTTGATTCAGCCAGGCATATTTATTTTATATATAAACATATTTTATAATAAATTGTTTTTTAATTTAAAAAAGGCGCAATTTTAAAAGGTAAAATTCAATTTGTTTGTAATGTTTACAAATTGTCACTTTTTTATAAACTACTAAATTTATAGCATTTTAATAACCTACTTTATAATTTTTTTAAATCAATTAATCAAGGTTTGCACAAGTTTTTGATATGTACAGTATACATGGATTCTCAACTAAGCCATTCCACATTTTTAATTGAAATGAATCTGGTTTTCAATGTGAATTTGGTAAATTTAAAGGCAAATTTAGGGTAGTTGTCAAAATTATTTAAAAGGGCCTAAGAAATTTTGCAGTAGCAACAAAAAGGCTTCAGTCACAATACTTGTTTACTGTAATACTTTTGGGACATTCTTGCCTGTTTATGTTTTATTACAAGGTCCAAGATATTTATGATGAGTTTAGATATTTATTTTAAGAAGCATTTGAAACAGATGTGCAAAGAATCTGGAAAACTCCCCATTTTACAAACTACTATTTAATTATTTGAGTTTTTAGATTGATGTTCAAATGGCTTCTAACTCAGGATGGCCCAAACAGTGCTACCTTGTGTCACGCAATCTGGCTTGATGGAAGGACCTGCTTTTGCTAGGTGGTTTGTAGACATTTATTCTACATTTTTGCAAGCTTGAAGGATTCAAAATCCTTTTTCTAGATGGCTATGCCTCAAATGTAACACTGGAACTAATTCACTTAGCAAAAGAGGAGAATATTATAACTTTAAACTACTGGCTCATACATCTCACCTGCCACAGCCATCTGATGTAGGCGTATTCAGGATGTATGATGTAGGCGTATTCAGGACGGCGTATTCAGGACTTGATGTAGGCGTATTCAGGACAGTAAAAAGTAAATGGCGTGGAATCCTGAACAAACATTTCATTCAAGACAATTTCAAAGATCTCATAAAACCTAGCTAACCTGGGTTGCTCAAACAGCTTATTGATCAAAGCTTCTTCAGCGACAATGTGGCTTCAAAGCAACAGACTTCAGCAACAATCTGGCTTTAAAGCAACAGATTTTTTTCCGTTGTGTTGGGAAAAAATAACTCATAAAAAATTAGCTATGGGATCAATTTTTGCACAAAACACTCAAGCCTTACCAACACTGTTTATACCAATCACCGCAATTTCAGAAATTCCTTCTAGTATACAAAAGCATAGAACTTCAAGTACACAAACTTCTTCGTGCTGCTTAAAACAAAGACCTCCTTTAAACTGCTGCACAACTGCTTGTGAGCATTTAAAGACGTCAATTTTAAATGCTTTGGACATGCTGGCATGTCCAACGCTTATCAGTGTCAAAGTCCATATCAGTGTCAAAGCTAAATGTTTATTAATAACATGTGTCTTGTGAAAAAAAAGCTTTTGAAGAAGCTTTAAATAAGCAAATACTTATATACGAACTTACAAATAAGCAAATAATGGCACAAAATAAGAACAATGAAATACTAGCTAAAAAGGTTTTGCGTGAAAAAACAAAATATGAGGCTGATTCAATTAGGACTCAAAATCATTTGGCTAAGGAAGTTTTTAGTAGGTTTGTTTAACAAACCTACTAAAAAACAATGGAAGCGACCACCATAAGACCATACAGACTTCTTGGGGCACATGGAAAAAAAAATAGTGATAATGGCCAAATTATTAAAATAGTTGATTAATTATAATAACAATGAAAAATTGTAATATTTATACTTAAAAAAGCCTTTTTTTTACCTGCTCCTTGTTCTTTTTTTTGGCCCCCCAAAAAACTTTTTTTTCAGAGGCTGAGTTGATGCCTTTCTTGGTTACTTGTATTACCTAATATTTTATCATCATTAAACAATAAAACAACATTTAAAAGTTAGTTTTCATTATAAGATGCGTTATTAGGATTTATATAGCGACCAAACTTATGACTTGGTATTAAAAGTTTGGTCAAAGTAGATTTTTGAAAATTTGAAATTAAATATTGAATTTTAGTTTTTGTTTTAAATTTTTTTATTTTTACAATATCAGTTATCAATAAAATTGTCTGTATGTTTCTGAAAAAAAAATTGAAAATTTATATGTGATAAAGAATGTTCAAAGCTTAAGTGACTAAACTTAGGTGATTTTACAGTATAGGTGATTTTACGGTATCATAAAATATATAATGTATACTTAGACGTCTTTTGTCTTCAACTTATTTCATTCTTTATTGAGGGAATATATTATTTCAACATTAGTATTAAGTTATATAGTTACAAGGATATAAAATGAGATTTTTATATCTTATTAATAGTTTACAGTTTACCTGTGTCAACATAAAAGAGCTTGATGCAGTCCTTCATTAGTTTTAATTATATTTTTAAACTAATTTAACTAAATTTGTTGTTTATTAGCAGCAGAATTTGAGTCTAAAGGTCATCTTATTAAATGATAAGTTAACTTTATTACTAAAATAAAAATAAAATTTTATATAAAATTGATTCTGTTATATTACTAAATTAATTATCTACAATTTAATAAACTCAAGCTCATTGTCCTTCGATAAAGTGTAACAAAACTTGTTCAGTAATCAAAATTTAAAATTTTTAGAAAAATAGTAATCAAAATTAAAAAAAAAAAGAAGTAAAAAATTCTTCAGTTAACAAAAAAAATAAAATTCTCAAAGATAAAAAGTCTAGGAAAATAATAAAAAAATGACAATCTGCATCCACTTGTAAAGTATTGAAGTATGAAATATGTTGTTTGGTATGGCTTACTTATGCAGAAGCATAAGAGTATGCAGTAATAAGAAATTACTATCACGGAAACTTGTCCAAACTTCACAAGTGTGGAACCGTGGATGTTAAATTTGGAAATTATTAGATAACTCTCTTCAAGAAACTTTGTTTTAAATACATTGTAAATTTTCTATTTTGATATAAAAATACCATCAGACACATACAGCGACTTAGTAGATGTACTAAGCATTGCTATTTTTTTAGCAATCAAAATCAATAACATGCTTGGTTTAATTTCTCAGATAGTTGAACAAGAATTTCATGATTTTCCTATTGAAAAAACTTTAAAGCATTATTAGAAAGTAATTTTTTGTTTTTATAAAATGGTAAAAATAACCATAATGAAAAAATTATGATAAAAATTGATGCTCTTAATATTAATTTTCTAAATTTCATAAGCTCAATCAAAGGTTTGTGGTGAAAACTAGTTTTGTATTTATTTATGTCTATATATTATTGCCAAACTTAATAGTAGTGCTGTTAGTAGTAGTAGTGCCCTTTCGAGCGCTTTTGACCCGGAACTCTTGGCAGCCATTTCAACCAAGGTAATGGCAAGAAAGAGTAGCAGCACTTTATTTTATAAGAAAATGTGAATGAAAGTGTCGATGCAAATATCTAATGTAAACTTCAAATTATGTAATGTTGATACATACTAAAACATCAAGTTTTACAGTTTTACATTTACTTGAAAAATGGATTACAGCAACATCTTAATTTTCAACATCTTCTTAATTTTGATTTATAGCATTTATTTCTGTTATATAAAGTCTTTTATTTATTATATAATTTTTAAAATTTTCTTTAGTCAACTTGCCATTACTTTTGTGGAGTCAAAAAGAAAGAAAAAAAAAACTCGTAGCTAGAAAAAACATTAAATTTTATTTTAACAATTACAAGTCTTTTTTGCTATATTTATTTTTTTGCTATAAAAATGTATGTCCCGATTTAAAAAATTGAAAATACATTGTTTTATTTATCTGTGAATTTTATTTATTTCTTATCTGTGAAATATCAGTACCAGTATATCATATATCAGTACCCGTTTTATATATTTTTGTGCAATTGTATGCACCATAATCAAATATATAAACACATATGTTACACTTATATTACGTTTTATACATTGTTTGTAAAAAAACTTTTTTAATAGTTACAAGTCTTTTTTGCTGTTTTATTTTTAGTTTTTGTTTTCATGTTATTGTATTTAAAAAAGTGAATAACATTAAAAAAATAGGAAACATATCATCTTAGCCAAGTAAAAAATTTGAAACTTCAATTTTAGATATGCTTCATTCTTAATTATTTCTGATTGCTAAAATTATGTCATCTTCTTTGACCATTAAAAATGATGATGCGACTTTTTCGTAAGTTGTCAAATTTTTTTTGCATATGTGACATCACTTTGTAGCCAAAAACTAAACATACTAACTAGAAGAACTAGAAATAAGATTTTTTCTTAACTTTTATAGTAAAATCTAAATGAAAAATATATAGAATATATTTTTATGGGATATATTCTAATAGAGACTTAATTTAGTAATTACTATGTTGTTTCTCTAAAACTATTTATTTATTACTATTGCAGTAAATACAAACTCTTATCTGTGAAATCATATATCTAAATTTTTTATATATTTTTATATATTTAGTTTTATATATTTTTGTGCAATTGTATGTACCATAATCAAAATTAATAAAAAAATGTAAGATAAATGCAAAAGCAAACTCGGCGTATAAAATTTTTTTGGTAATAATGCCCAAAATTTTTTGGCTTAACTTGTATATTAGTGTTTTACAGCTAAGGCTGCATCTATAATTTTTAATGGCCTAAGATCTTCTTTTTTCTGCCAATTGTATAGCATTATATGCAAATGTTTTAAAGTGTAAACGCCTTTAGCATATGTTAAGTTTGCAGGCAGTATATGGAACAATTGTGTATAATATATCTATATTATACACAATTAATAAAAAAAAAATAATAATAAAGATAAATGCAAAAGCAAACTTGACGTATAAAATTTTTTTAGCATTAATGCCCTGAAATTTTTTAGAATAA